TATGAATTTTGATAGGGCCAATCGTCCAAAGAGCTACATATCAAGGACTGGTGGTTGGGAGCAATATCCACATGGGCGTTGGGCGGATTCTTCTAATGCATCATACGGAGCATTAACCGATCATCAGGTATGCCTACAATTGCAACATTTCATTTTCTCGAAATATTACTCTACTTATTTGCCCCCCCCCCCCCCCCCCCATTATCACAAAAATTCTTGTATTTGTTTCCAATACCTGTCTTTCGGTTGCAAATTAACAATCAACACAACAGTTGATATAGGGCTAAATGCAAAAAAGAGCAATGAACTTCATTTATTTCTATTACAGCATTGTACTTTCTATTTCCTTTGATAAATCATAGCACAGCAAAAATTGATTCGTATTTTGATGATATTATAGCAGGTTGATTTTTCAAAGTAGAGTTTTGTAATAGGAAGAGATGAAAGTCTGATATACTATAGTTTTAAAAAAAAAAATGAAAGGACGTTGCTATATTTATTGTATTGTATTTAAGCGAAAGGTATGTACCGCTCTTTTGTTTTCTCATATGTTGTGAATATTACAAGCAGTTCATGCGGCCACGTGCACGTGACAAGAAAATTCAAGCAGAGTGGGTGGTCCCTTTGACCAAGTTTGATGATATTTCCGAGGTATGGGTGTTTATGGTATTTCTGATTTAATCACTATACCATACATATGTAATGTAAAAAACTAAAAATGTGGGGGGCTAACGCTAATTGAATGAACGATTTTACATTTTATATCAGAAATTCATGAAGTACTGCCTTGGGCAACTAAAAACCAGCCCTTGGTCGGACCTAGATGCGCTTCAGCCAGAGACAAAAATCATCAACGAAGAACTGGCTTCCATCAACCTCAAGGGTTTCCTCACCATCAACAGTCAACCCGCTGTTAATGGAGCCAAATCTGACTCCCCATCTGTTGGTAAGATGATGCTAGAAATAGCTATAATACACATACATGTATTATTTATGTGTGGTAAAGTTGCTGACTGAGTTGTTGTTTGGGGTTGAAGGATGGGGCCCAGCGGGTGGTTACGTATACCAGAAAGCCTACGTGGAGTTTTTCTGCTCTGGGGAAAAGTTAAATGCTCTTGTGGAGAAAAGCAAGGCCATTCCTTCACTCACATACCTGGCGGTGAACAAGGAAGGAACCCTGGTTTCAAATGTCGGGAAAAACGATGTGAATGCAGTCACATGGGGCGCCTTCCCAGGAAAGGAGATCATTCAACCAACTGTTGTGGACCCCGCTAGTTTCTTGATATGGAAGGATGAAGCTTTTGAGATCTGGTCAAGAGGATGGGCTCAGTTGTATCCCCAGGAAGATAACTCTTCAAGATCGCTTCTCCAAGAGGTTCATTTTCTTATCTCTTATTATCTCCATTTTTTTTCTTTCTTGTTTTCGTTATTTCATTGATTATGGTTACTTATACATAACAGGTACAAAACACTTACTACTTGGTGAGTTTGGTCGATAATGATTACATCAACACCAATTTATTCACCGTTTTCAAGGGATTCTAGAAACACATCCACCGCTTCTTCTTTCTATAGAGAAAATTGATTGTGTTATGCTCTTGCTTATACTTTCTTCTTTATATTTTGATTTTGACGTCTTGTCTCACCTGTCTTTCTTGTTTTGTAATCTAATGTTATGTTGCTACATTTGTTGTGCAAACTACATACACCCATAAGCAACATATTTAATCATTCCATTACCAACAAACAAGACCAAACCAGCTCCTTTTTACCTAGTATGTGTACAAGTATTAAATGCAGAATGTACCTACCATCATGTCATTGATTATAAAAGTAATTTCTATTGTGCTACTATTGGATTTTTGAGTTATAGAATTCACCATTTCTAATGGAGAATGTGATCTGCTTTTTGTATTGCATTGTTAACAAAATGTTAGATTTTAGGTTTCCAATATCAATCAACTGGAAAATTCAAGGATCATATATGAAAAACATTTTCTAAAATCTGTGATTTTGACCCAATTGTTGGAGGGTATTATGAAATCCGATTTGGAATAATCCAATAACAAGTTGAATTGAAATACATGCCTATTACAAACTCTAAAACACATAAATACCTTGCAATTGAACGTGTTTTCCAAAGACAAAGTGCAGAGAGAAGTAGATTGCAACGCTTTAATCTTCTATATACATATAGAAGAGAGCCATTTTAAGGTGAAAAGACTCCCTTTTAATGGATCTAAAGTTTGGGTCATTTGTCGGGAAAAATACAGTTTGCCCTCGCTAGGTTAGCACCCCTAGACACGCCAGGGGTGCTGTCCCCAAACCTCGTGTTCCCAAGCCCTCTTAAGTTATTTGAATGTGCATTATATACATTTTGTCTCGTTATATAGCCAAAAAGATTCTTGACACTTTTTTATCTAACACTTTGACCTGCTACACCATTAAGTAGGTGGGGGGCTAGGCCCTCAATGAAATATTGTCGACCAATTATGTCTATAAAAAATGGGCTAATATAATTATATAATAACTAAGGTGTTGTTTGTTTTTTGTAAAAAAAAAAAAAAAATAGACCTTTTATTGTTGCGCAACGCTTCACACGCGCAGCACTTTTAATCCCGTAGTTGTTTGTTTTTTAGAAGTCTTTAGAGTCAAAAATTTTGCGCGTGTTCTGTTTGGCGCAACACTTATATTGTCTCTTCCAGCTTCGTCCCACCTCTTATTCTTTTTTTCTTGCTAAAATCTTGATTATATGTTATAAAAATCTTATTTTACATTATTTTTCGTTTATTCTTGTTGATTTTTTTTTGTTTTTTTATATATCAAATAATGATAATTTCTTGATGAAACATTATTATTTTTTGTTAAGATATCTTTATTTTTTTGTTGAAATATCATTATTTTTTACTAAAATATCATAAATTCTTGCTGAAATATCATAAATTATTAAATTTTCGGTATTAAAAAACTATTTTTGTTTATAAAATCAGTTTATTTTAATTTTTTAATATATGGAGCAGCATGCAGGTGTTAAAAAAACAAACACGTTTCTTATTACAGTCTGCAGCCGTTTGGTCCACCTCTTCTATTGCAGAAGGTTGCAGAGGTGGTCCGCAGACTTCATAAATTTTTGCTTTAAAAAAACAAATAACACCTAAGTCAACAATATATCCATATTATTATTAGTGATTTTTGAAATTGTTTTTTTACTTTGAATTTTGATACCTAATATCTTAACTTTTGATCGTGATTAATTATTTATATTGTCAATTCTAGACTTGATGGGTTATGTGAATATTTAAACATTAAGCTAAATCTTTATGTTATTTTATTAAAATTTCAAAGTGTTTGAACTTCAATCCAAAAATTGAGTGAAAAGGCAAAACTTTTGACTAAAGATAATGAATTAGTTAATTTCTAGTGCCCCGAAGCTGTTTGTTGGATCTATCATTGGGCACTATTGCATGTTTTAATTTGATATGTTATAATCATTGTACAAGTTGTTAGATGGTATATTAAGTCGGTCGATTAACGATTAGACGACTAATGGGGACCCTAAAATATAAATCCCTTCAGTTTAAAAAAAAAAAAAATGACTAATATAATAAGTAATAACATAATAAGTAAATACCATTAATATCAAAACAATATCTACTCTAATAATGAAGGGGTTTTTTTATCACTTGTTACACTCTCATTTCATTTTATGGTTATTTCGAATTAATTTTTTTCGACATATAATTTTATAAGTTTTTTTTATTTTTTTAAATTCCACATAATATCTATTCTAGTAAATGAAAGTTATTTTTACCACTTCTTATAGTTTCATTTAATTTGTCAAATGTTATTTTGTGGTTATTATGAATTAATTTATTTTTCTACATATTATTTTATAAGTTTATCTATTTTTCTAAATTTCACATAATATTTTAATGTAATAATTAAATGAATATCAATGTCATTAATAAACTTATCTTGTAATTTCAAAATTCGCAAAATTAAAGCTCGTTAATTTTTTTATTTAAATTATTTGTTTAAATTTTAAAGATAAAAAACATTTTTATTATAATAATTCATTATTTTCTTATAAATTCAAAAGTTTCAAATATTTAGACATTTTTTTTTAATTAATCATGTACTACATGAGTCTTGCAACTAGTATGTTAATATGACTAATAACACACTAATACTTCTTCAAAAAGTTTTTACTGATATATAAATTCTCCAAGTTGTTAAAAGTTCATCGGCTTCGACAACTTCACTAATAATCTACGTAGAGATTAATCGATAGGCATCGTCTAGTCGGTCGCTTACTGTCTAGGGAATAATTGGAGACTAGTTGGTTGTGATTTTTACAAAAATGATGATTATAATAAGCTAAGACTTAAGGCTATATCAAGGTTAAATCATTTTAGTGGAATAGAAATTGTCAAAATGGTCGCTTTAACCATTCAACTTTTAAGATCGCTCAAATATTTAGCCACCTTACCGTGGCCTACACCTCGATCGGTAATCTTCTATTCATCTTTCATCTATTTTTTTAGTCTGATATGCTACTGTTCCAAATGATATTCTTGTAATATCAAAATCTTAGCCGCTAAGATATCTTTCCACTACATTATGAGTTTTAAATCATGTTCTTGTAGATTCAAAAACATTAAACTATTCAAACAAAATTTTATTTGAATTGGAGACCTGATACATGCTGATAAAGAATTATTAGATAAGTTTAACCGTTCAAACGGACCATATTATGATATGAAGAAGATACAACAATGCTTACTATCAATGAAAAAATAAAAAACTTAAGAAAAAGGGATCCCAGAATAATCAAATCATGTGGATACAAATGAATTCAATATGTAGATACAAGTATCGTACGTGATTAATCAAAAGCGAAAAAACTACACATATATGATCGAATTCAAACAAAATGCACGACACGATACGACACGTTAATAATAAACGGAATTACCAATCGGAGCATCTAGAATCATGAATCAGACGGGGAGATTCTCGACGGAGGCAGGAGCATTTTTATCGGAGACCGTCGATTGAAGATGAGCCATCATAATAGCCTGCTCTTTGGCTTCTTCTTCCTCCAGTTCATCCTCGTCGTCGGAATCGGCGGTGGTTAGGTTAACGCACGAGCAACTTTCCAGAGATGCGAAAAACGCCGATGCCACATTATTACCTACCCTACTCGCCAATCCGGGCTTTTCGTTCGAGTCGTTGCTCGAATTCGAATTCGAATTCTCCTCCATCTTCTTATAATCAATATCTCCGATCTTATTCGATTGGAGTTGATCGATTGATTCGATACGATTCCAAATTTTCCCAAATATTAATTTCACTTTTGTTTGTATAAATATCTCAAATTTTATGTTTCCCTTTAAATATTTTATTTACATTTGTCAAATTAAGGTATTAAGCTAAATCATCATGTAACGATAAAGATACAACTTTGTGCGTGATTAACTGATTATGTCTTGTAGTTTCTTAAAATTCTATAGTTTCCCCTTACCTTTTTTATCTACATATTATTGGTAATTTTTTCATTTACTTTTGAATATTTATATTATATGAATATTGTTTTATGATTTTATCTTATTTAGTTAATCTATTAAGTTATAAAATAATACTAAAACTTATTTTAAACAAGTTATAATGATCTCATTTATAACTTCAAAATTTAGAAAAAAAAAAAAAAAAAAAAAAAAAAAACTCATATAGTTGTGATAATGACAATATTTACCTTTGATAACTATATCTCAATGAATGGCTTGAAAGGTTTGATTTTTTTAACATTGTTCTATGTACATACAAAAGAATAATACTGCCATTTATATACATAGAAGGCTTGAAAATTTATGATTTAGGAAGAAAAAAAATTATTTTGTACCTCTGTATATCATGGACCTTTTTTGTTAATTATTTTCCAATGATCATTTCTGTAATTTCGTACATTACAAGTCAGGTTTCTGTATTCTTGTTCAAATATCAACTCGTATATTAGGGACCATTTTCACATATGGACGATTCATTTTTCATAAGGCTATTTACAGCCTAGTCACTATTCTAATCAGTTTACTATATTTTCTTGCTCCAATGTCTTAATGAAATCGAGTAATTAAAAAAACATGTAATTTCCATTAACTTATTTGTCGATTTTGTCTATGTGGTATGGATTAGCATATGACACTTTAAGAACCGGAGGTGGGATAATTGGTGGACAAAATAAGTGGCGGACCCAAAATATAATATCAGAATAACCTATCAGAAAAATTACACTTGAAAATATTAAAAAAAATTATGTTGTGTTGGACATTAATCTCACTAAGGACATCTCCAACCCATTTCCATACTTCATTTTTTCCTCCATTTCTTCCTCTCACTCTCCTCCAACTCTACCTCATTTCCATCTCCATTTTTTAAGATATGTATTTGGGGGAATACTGTTCATATCTCCAAAAATAAAGTTAAAGTTTTGATTGTCAGTTTTAATCTTTATTATTTTTATTTTATATATTTTTAGTTTATTTTTATATACTAATTATAATTTAAATAAAATATTTAGTATTTGCTATGTCATGTTATATACTAATTTATATTAATTAATCATAAATATAGAGTTTAATATTTATTTATCGAATCCATATAAAAAAATTAAATATATATTAAAAACTTAAACATGATAATATGATTTATAAAATAAAGTAATCAAATATGCTCGTGATCATGATATATTTATTATAAATATACTCTTATTTATTTAATAATTATTTATAATATAGTAATAATTAATTTAAATTTATTATATACAAAAATTTTATTTATTATAATATAATTTGTAATATTTTTGTAATGAAAAAATGTAATATATATTCGTTAAATCTAATTAGTAGACGGGTGTATTTGATAATATATACATGTAACACCCAAAGTTTCAAAGGCCAAGAAGGGAAAGAAAAACCCTAATTTAAGGGCCGACTCGGCGAGTCCAAGGAGGGACTCGGCGAGTCCGAGCGGGATCCGGGTCGAGGTGTAAGCGACCGACTCGGCGAGTCGGTCAAGGTGACTCGACGAGTCTGGTCTGTGCGTGGAAAACCCTAAATTCGGGACTTGGGGCCTATATAAATGTCTTAATCTTCTTCCTAGGGTTCCTTACTGCCTCTTTAGCCCTGGATCTCAAACCCTAGCCGTCACATCTCCTAGTTAAGCCTTGGAAGGTGCATTAAAGCTTGGAAAAGGAAGAAGGAACTTGGAGGAGCAAGAAGGAGCTATAGATCTGGGATTGTGAGTTCATTATGAGCACTTGGAGGTAATAAACTAGTTCCTGGACCCTTTTTGCACCTAGATCTATGTGTGGTTGTTGGGGCTCTTTTGCCATAATGTTATTATTTTGGGTTAGAAGTCGGATCTGGAGTTGCTACTTCAGATTCAAGTGTTTTAGGGCCTGGAGAAGCATAAAGTATCAGCCATTAAGTCGATTTTGAAGCCCCTTGGCCTTACACCCTAGTTTATGGCATATTTTGCCTAGATCTCCTTCTCTACACGTAAAGTTTGCAACTTTACGTGTGGAATAGGCTTGGGAATGGTAGATCTACAGTTTGGAGTCCATGCATGACTCTAAAATCCTCTGCATGTAAGGAGATCTTAAGGGACTCGGCGAGTCCTTTGAGTGGACTCGGCGAGTAGCATGAAGTTGTGGAGAAACTCGACGAGTGAGATGAACAACTCGTCGAGTCGTATGAAGATTACCTTGGACTCGGCGAGTCTGTTCTTCGACTCGGCGAGTTAGGTCGCGAAACCCCAAACCCTTCGAGTTGTGACTCGAATCAGTGAGTCGGGTGGAGACTCAGTGAGTTGAACAGGTCTGGACTCAGAAATCGGTAGACTCGGCGAGTCATGGACTGACTCGGCGAGTCGAGTCGCGAATGAAAAGAATCTGATCATTTTGAACTCGGCGAGTTAGTAGGGTGACTCGGCGAGTAGAGTTGACCTGGAAGGTTGACTTTGACCAGGACTTTGACTTTGGACCAGGGTGGACTTGATTGTCTTTCGGGGGTCAGTTAGACTCAGTGTTGCATTGATATTGGTAGTTCGGGGAGCAAGGGGAGCAGGAGTTCCGTGAGTTGTCGGGAAGCAGCTAGTGAGATCATCAGCAAGTTCAGCCAGTTCAGGTGAGTTTCCCTTTGTGTGAATGGGTCTAAGGCCACAATGTCGGCCCATGTAGTTATGAGTAGAAGACCTGGGGGTTAGCCCTAGGCACAGTATGCTAGCATTGTTTGCAGTACGAGGTCCAGTAATAACGGGCGGGCGCCCAAGGAATTGTTTATATATGATAGTTTATACTTGTTGTCTGTGTGATACATGTATGTACCTGGTAGGGAGGTGAGTGTGGGCGAGGTCCCGTATCTCACCAATAGCAAAGTGTGGATGGGGTTCCATATCTCACTAGTAGCAGATTAGGGGCGAGGCCCGAATTAGAACAGGAGTGAGAGTGGGCTAGGCCCGTACCTCACTACCATTAGGAGCATGCATGGGGTTCCATGACTCCTTAGTAGCAGGACATGGGCGAGGCCCAGGAAAGGCGAGGCCTTAGGACAGAACCAGTTGCATGTGTTAGTTATGCGTTATGAAATGTTTATGTGTTATTATTTGTTGGCGGGCGAGACCCTGTGACATGCGAGGCCTAAGTAAAACAGATATGTATCCGAGCGGGGCTCGAAGCCAGGCGGGGCCTGGAGCGGCGGGGCCGTTGTAGCGGGCGAGGCCCGAGGTAAGGGGCGAGGCCCAAGATAGGGGGCGTGGCCCAGTATGTGCAGTATGTGGTTATGCATGGTATGTGGTAGGGTGGGGAACTCACTAAGCTTCGTGCTTACGGTTTTCAGTTTTGGTTTCAGGTACTTCCGGTAGCGGAGGAAAGAGCTCGGGGTGATCGCATGGCACACACCATAGATTAAACAGTCTGGGAATGTTTACTCTGATAACGAACATATGTTTTGAAAACTTATACTCATATTATGTTTTGGAATGATAATGTTACTTTAAGTAATGATTTATTAAAGAAATTTTTGGTCTTAAATTTTGGGTCGTTACAATATATATATATATATATATATATATATATATATATATATATATATATATATATATATATATATATTATAAAAATTGAACATTCTAGCAATATACTTTTGGGGTAAAAAATGAGATAGAAAATGAAGTCATACAGTTAATCAACTATTTACATTACTTCTGCTCGTGCATTGAATACAAATTATTCAATAAGCAGTTTGTATAAAGATACTAAAATTATTTGGCATAATTTTATGATTTTTTTATTGTGTGAAAATAAAGCTAAAACATGAATGACGTTATGTATGCTTATCAGCTTCAGTTGTTATTTTATGGTTTTTTTTATTGCGTGAAAATAAAGCTAAAACATGAATGACATAATGTGTGCTTATCAGCTTCAATTGTTACAGGTACCTAAAATCATAGCTGTAACAACCCAATTTTCACGTCCGAAAATTTCGTTTTAAAAACATTACCTTAGAAAACATTAATAATTAAAAACATTGTTTGATCAAACCATAACACAACGTATACCATGTCTAAAAGCCAAACCATACAACCCATCAAAATATCAGAGTACAAATCCCAGTGAATCTCGTAAATGCGGAAACCAGAGTGTGTGCATGATGTGCCGCTACCGCGCCAGCTCCTTCCCCTTCGAAGAAGAGGTACCTGAAACCAAAACTGTAAAACGTAAGCACAAAGCTTAGTGAGTTCCCCCATTGTACCACATACCATGCAAACACATAACATACATACTGTCAGGCTATTTTGGGGTGCCTGACTACCCGGTACGGCCATTCTGGGGTGCCGCCCTACCCATACGGCCATTCTAGGGTGTTGTCCTACCCGTGTCAAGCCATTCTGGGGTGTTGACTACCCATGTCAAGTCATTCTGGGGTGCTGACTACCCATCGGTCCTAACAACCGATCCTCGGGGACTGGTCCCCTCCTACTACCTTTATCGCATAACATAACAGGCCAGCATACAAACATAGCATCACATACTGTCAGACATTTCTGGGGTGTCTGACTACCCTTCGGTCCTAACAACCGAACTCTACTACTATCACATATAACGTATCATGCTAACATATAACATATCAGGTAGTAGCAAACCTAGATGAAAATGCATAACTTAAGCAAGCACATAAGACCCTATGGCACACATAATTACCAATCTAGGTAAAGTATAGTGAGAATACTCACCTTACAAGCAAGCAAGCAATTATCCTAAAACTCGTATCTCGAACCAGCCACCACCTAACACATATGGTAGATATATCAGGTTATTACTTGATTCTCGACTCTAGTTATCCAAATGTTATTCTTCTCTCTCTAGCTCTTGAATTAGGTAAAACACCATTTTACCCCTCCATGGTCTCCGTTGCTCATGTTGACCAAACCTTGAATTCAACAGAAGTCAAACTCGAGTCAACAATCCATTTTTGACTCAACTCATCGAATGTACTCTTACGAATCGCTGAGTCCCCTTGTTCCCTCAGGAGTCTCACGAAGGTCCAGCTCGACTCTTCGAGTTGACCCCTAACTTGTCGAGTTATCGCACGATAAAGCTCGTCGGGACAAACCCTTACTGACTCGTCGAGACAACCCATGGACTCAGCGAGTTCCTTCAATCTGATTTCCCATTCAGACATCACTGTTATCCACGATCAAAATTGGCTTTCATCTTTAATTACATCGAGAGATTTTGCATCCACGCTTTTTCAGAAATTAGAACTTTTAAGTCGATTATTGAATTCCATCTTTTCGTAAGGCATGCTTTGCGGATTATTTTCATTCAAATAGAGATTTTGGGCTGATGTTTCAATGG